GAGCATTTATACTAAACGGAGAAATCGTGTTGTCCAGAAAAGTTTTTCACTCAAACGTATACCACTAGTTATCGGTGGGCTTGTTCCATCACATCTGACACTTGCGCCATCATCTTTGAGTGCTGTGAAGCATTCCATCTAATTTCGCATATTTTACGACTCTTAAGGTTTTTCGAAAACCGTGCTTTTCATTGGTGTTGTTCTCACTGCTTGTTTGGTTCTTGATATAGACAAACAAACCAATGCGACAATCGTCTTCCCTCATCTGATCTGACAGATGTCCACTTATGTCTATCTGGTAGAGTTTTCCAAGAACTATTCAACACCATCCTCTGCATTATCGCAACATGCTCAATTTAACATCAATATGTAAAGTGCTAATTTGGCCCTCTTGATATGATTTGACCAGCCAAAGGTCACCTTTACGATTGTTCACGTACGCCTCATCATAGAGTTATGTAGCTTTGCGCTTTTCACGTGCCCCCATCTGATTTAGTTTTCGAGATCGTAGTGGATCTACGAGGGCCGCATCGCACGGCGAAGGTGAAAAAATTCTGTAGGGCGGAGATTAACCCCCTGCCTTACGGTGGGCTTTCGATTTACCTTAGGATGTTTCGCAATAGCTTAAGAATGACTGAGCATGGTATGGCTATCTTGGACAGTGCACCTTGCATTATTTTTTACGTAGCTTGTGAGCATTAAAAGTTCCTGACCATGACGTTTCATGATCTATAACCTTTTTCTTGAGGTCAGGCCGGTAACATCTTGTTCAAAAGTGATTTGCAACGTTTATTCATCGCATAAAATGCTCCAAGAAATTTTTTAACTGAATATCTTAACTTTACCTTTCTGAAGGGAATTACCATCGCTCTGGCAGTTTTGCGGGATCAGGCTGGGTCAAATTCGAGCTTTGTTACCAGATATGTGATTGGGGTGGTCGTGCGATTTACACCTTGATAGCATGTATCGTGGTTTGGAAGTTATTGCTGACACCATTTGTTTCCCTTGCTTTGTCTTTTTTTTTTAAAGGGCCTGATGTGTCAGCGCAACAATAGACTCCACACAATTATGTTGACGTGTCATATTACAGGTCACATTTGTCGATGCTTACCTGTGCGCATTTTTCAGAGTTTTCTATGATCTATTCAACGCCGTTTTTCTCACTGCCGCACCATACCTAGTTCTTGGGATGAAAGGGCAAATATGCCGAGTGCTAATTTTGTCCGATCTGACTTTTTAAAAGTCACGTTGATCATTGCTTAATCACACCCATGTGTCACAATTTGATAAAAGTTTCCCGGAGTGGTTTTCCCCATGGTGGTAGCTTTCTTATTTTCAGGGAGACTCTGAGAAGGGTGAAGGTGATAAATCGAAGAGGAGAGGTTTTTGCGAATTCCTCAAGGAGTGTTTTGCAACTCCTCCCACTAAAGCAGCCGAAGCAGCCACTAACCTAACGGGTTATTAAGGAGTCGCATTTCTCTGTCTCCCCATCGGTTCCGACCATTCCCAGCCAACAAAGGGACCCCAGGATGGTGCGCTGCAAGTGACATTCGAACAGCGGCAAACTCGGAGTTCAGATTCAGGTTTTGTCTTGCGACAAATCCACAGTAGCATGGCTTTTTATCGCACGCAGAAATATGGAAGATGACGGGCTCTGTAAATACCGTTGTTTAGCACACACGAATGACACCAGCGTGCAGAACACAAGTTGGCATCACGCCAAAATGGTTCAATAACTTCGCGGTTACAGCAAAAACTGATTCATGACATGAAGGCTACACGACAAAACTCATGCTGCAAAAACATATACCAGTCATCACTTTACAGCAAAGATTTGACCGCAGGTCTTTTCTGTAGCACCAACGTCGCGTATAAGCAACGGCTGTCCAAGTTTCTGCAGTAGAAGTAATGACGGGTACAACTTTGTAAAGTATAACGTCGCATATAAGATTTAACAATAGAACGAATATCGTGTGCAGGTAATGACTGTATAAGTGTTTGTAGTGGACATAATGACGAGAGGAAGATTTTCAGCACACGTTCTGTCGCGGATCACTCATGTCGTGTATAAGTATCGGGGGTAGGAGTAGTGCCGGAGCACTCCTGTCGGAAGGACTTTTCGTTGTAGCGCTAATGTCGTGTATAAGTACCGGCGGTAGGGGTAATGTCGGAGCACTCCTGTCGGAAGGAGTTTTCGTTGTAGCGCTAATGTGGAGCCCTGTACGTTCTAGATCGTTTCTGTTCGTTCGCGCCTTGCGCTTGAAGCCTCTGATCCCAATTCGCTGGAAATTTTTTAGCAGAACCATGCATTTGTATCGCGATTTGACAGCTCATTCATCGGGACACGTAATACATGCTGGCGCGCACCGGCTTCGGTCATTAGTGTCGGGACTGTGAACAAAGCGTGTCACAACGCAGGACGTGGCAAATTCAGCGTGCAGGAATTGAGCAAATGCAGTCGAACACTGCTGATTGCTCTGCAGTGCGATTCGTGACGAACGCCATTGAATCGGAGTTGATTCATCACTGACCCATTGACTCCACTAAACTGGTATTGAACAACGACCCAGCCGCATAAAAAATGGTGTTTGACATCAATGTTGGGCTTTTTGAGCAATGCAACTTCTGTAGCAATGGAGAATCAGTTACGCTCAGCTGGTGCGTCCACTGTCGAGCAGGCAGACTGATAATCTTAGTTTAATTGATGACTGTGTCGATTTCTGCAAGTGCCATTTGCCATCGACACACAGGCTCGTTTTCCAAACATCACCGCAGCATTTACTCGGCCCAAATGGCAGCTGTACTTACATCCATTTGTGAATTCTTGCCATACTCTAAAAGAATAAAAAAATGCAGCTGACACGTAGATTCACCGATAACCTTCAAGTTTTTCCTACTTCTCACGTTAGCGCATGCCAACCCAGGCGAACCGAGAGCCATGAGCGGCGGCGCTCTGACGTGACCCCCCCCCCCCCCTGTACCCCCGATGTCATTCATGATGCCGCATGGCATGACCCCACATGGTACCCTACGGCGTTGGCCGGCGCGGCGCGCCTGTCCGCGCGGCGCGCCACCTGCCCGTCGCCGGGTGGCAGTCGTGGCGCACGGCCCGGGTCGATCCTGCCGTAAGACATCCGGGCGTCGATTAGCGTCGGCTGCAGTGACGCGCCTCCCGGGCCGCCACCGCCGCCGCCGCCTGTGCCGAGTCATTCCGACGGCGGAGGCCGGCAGCCCCCGGACTCTCCGGCCGCCCGTGCAGGGCGCACCGTACCGCGCCTCCCGGGCCGCCACCGCCGCCGCCGTCTGTGCCGAGTCATCCCGACGGCGGAGGCCGGCAGCCCCCGGACGCTCCGGCCGCCCGTGCAGGGCGCACCGTACCGCGGCGACCGGGCTGAGACGGGCCACGATCCGGGCTCCGGGGCCGGCGGGCACGCAGGCAGCGGCACGTGCGCGCACTGAACGTGTGCCCTCGCGCAACCGGGCTGGCGGGCCACATCTCATATTTCGGCGGAAGTCCCTCGCGTCACTGATGACTGTCCGGGGTAGCGTGCGTGCAGATATATGGATCCATTCGGAGGTATGCGTGAGATGCATGCGAGTCGGTCGACTGCCAAAGTAAGTGGTCAAATGCGCGCGAGAACGTATGGCAATGCAAACATAATTGTCAGACTTTTGACAATGCACTTTCCCAACATCTGTAACGTGTCTACTCACCGATTTGTGTGCAGACTCAGTATATTGTGCTGACGCTATTTTGTACCAATCCGGTAATACATAAATGTTACCATAGCTCCTCCATATGCACTGAGTGATGCAAATGGGGGCGTCGACACAGATCTCGCACGCGCAATTCCTGGCATGCAGATAGAGTGCCGTTCGTGTAGTGGTTAACGCGTCTGCGTTAACCGCTGTACGTCTGGGAAACCAGAGGCACGGGGTTCGCCCTCCCGCGGTGTCCGCCCTTCCTGCCAGGGTGAGGGCAGGCGACGCCTTATAGCCTCAGCAGCTGAGTGGGCCGCAATGGTGAAGAGGACGGCGGTGTGCGGATGATGCCAATAGAGTGCTTTAGCTTTGGCTTCTGACGAGCTAAATATGGCCAGATGAGTGTAAATGTGCTCTGAACTCTCCCCACCTATCAAAACTTGCCAGTTGAACATGTATCCTAGTTTCCAGCCATTAAGCTAGCCAAAGTTTTGAACGATGTGTTTCAGCGACGGTTTTGCTCTTACTACACGGCGCATCCGCGAACCGGGCTCTGCACTGAGCTCCGGTTGAGTTTTGTAGAGGCCATGCTGGAAAGGGGATGCATTCTGTAAAACGAACGCAGCGCCTTGTAAGCAATACGATCCGGCTCTGTCACTCAGGCTTAAAGGAGTGCTCCACATTTGTATGTGGTTGTGAACTGAAATAATTATTTTGAAGACATTCGATGCAGTTTACAGCCCTGCCCTTCTGAAGACTTAAATCCCTCTAGTTTCTGAGCTACACGCTCGCGAAGATGTGCGGACTTTTTCGTGTGGAATATTTCGAGGCCAATTTAGCATTTACGACGCCACAACAGCGTCATTCAAATCCTGCCGTCCCATAGGCCGCGCGGCTTTCAGGGCCAAAAGAACATCGACGTAGCCGCAATAAATTGAGCAGAACTGTGATCGGGTCGTGAACTGTGTACGGGTCGGGCTAATGCTTTAGGAACGTACCCAAAAACATAAAAGGACATCACCCTTATAGGAGACCATACTGATAAGAGTTACACGAGATCACGCGGCTTTTGTCAAATGTGCTCTGGCCGTTCATCACCAATGTAACAGCTCTCCGCCGGGGTGGGGTCACGTCGGGTCGTGCTACGCCTGCGACTTAAGGTAACCACCGGCGAGGAATGAAACCTTCAATGCGGTCAGCCGCCGGTCGTATGACGGTAAGTGTAAACTGTGCAGTTTGATCCAAAAGTGACCGAGCTGTTCCCTCCTCCGTTTCAGATACCCCCACCGAAGTGACAGTGGAACTCTACATACGAAGCTTCGGGTCTATCAATCCATCAACGATGGTAAGTCTGGACAGTTGAAAAAAGCAGTACAGAGTCATAGCGATACACCTTAGGCAACGATTTCGGACTACACGTCGTCGCCGATTTGTATCCCCTGACAGGTTAGGGACGGATAGGTTCATCCTGTTCCGCTGCACTCTGCCGAGGCAGTACTAAATGGCCAATGGCTGCCTGGTGGAAATTCGTTAACTAAAACCATGATAAATCCTCCAAGCTCTGGGGACGCATCCAAAGATGTTTCGGACTGTGCAGATTAATCACGATTTCAGATGGCCATAACCAGCTAGCTGATCTGTGGACGGGCTCCAGAGTCGAATTTCTGGGACGTGATGTCTTAACCAGCCCTGGTGCCTCGCGAAAGACCAAGAATGTCTTCGAGGCTATTTCAGAATAAATGTGGTTGTAATCATCAATCTTGTCAGCGCGTTTACTTTTGACGTTTCAGCATTGGTTGCTGCATCGACCACACCCCTGCCGCAGCGAGCAGCAGCTGTGATCTACGTAAAGGCCCCAAGGGTCCATCACGGCTTGGGAGTCAGGTCGATCCCTGTTTTGCCTAGCTCATGCTCGGCGCGCCGTATCTGAGACAAATCCGTCGAAGACCTGTGCGTTGCGTTTGCCAGGATTACGAGGTGGACCTGTACCTGCGCCAGTACTGGACTGACCCGCGGCTCCGGCACAAGGACATCACTACCCCGCTCGACCTCAACGACCCGAACTTGGTCAAGGCCATCTGGAAGCCCGAGGTGTATTTCCCCAACGCCAAGCACGGCGAGTTCCAGTTCGTCACCGTGCCCAACGTGCTTATCCGCCTCAATCCAGGGGGGAAGATCTTCTACATGCTGAGGTAAGTTGGGGACGCGGTACCCAGCCCATAAGCTCAATAGCACTAGTATACAATATTGAGCTTCAGCGGTCAAATTTCGATCTGTACCTGCATGGCTCAAAATGCGTAAAAATCGTGCGAGCAATCATAGCGAACGAAATAGCGTTCCAGCTGATGCCATACCCTAAGGTTGGACCAGGGATAAGATTAAAACATTGGTCGGGAACTGTTTGGGGGGCAGATGTTTGATAAATTCCGTCCAGCCGTCTGCTTTTACCAAGAGGATAGATTGTTCGCTTATGAAAAGATACGCAAATACCAGAGTCCGAGCAGTGCCTGCTATCGCCTTTGGCTGAATGATGTATTGTAGCCAATAAGGTATAGTGAAATATAGATGGGGAGACGTTGGCTTTCATCGAAAAACGATGTCTTTGTGGCTTCAGTGGTGTCAGGTTTACTTGTTTTTACACTGAGGAGTGTCAGTAACGTTTTGGCTGACAAAGTAAATGGTATTTAGCGTGTTTGTTCGCGTAAACTTGGTATTCATGGACGATATTTACCTTTTGATTCACGGTATATTAAAACTGATAAATTTGCGGAACACCCTTCCATGTAGCCCTCCGGCAGCTGCACCGCCGAGGATTACCAGGAAAGAGTTTAGCATTAGTATTGCAAGTAGGCACTTTGCTTGTGGTGTATCCTGGAAATATGTACCTTAAATGCATTTTGTCTCCCAGTGATCAGGGAGTGGCGCCGCCGTTGTCTCCTAAAGACATGCGTGCGTGGTTTTAGCTCTGGGATAGGCGCTGACATGACTGAAAAAATGTACGAAATCCCCATTGTCCCTTCACTTGGTTTAACAAAAATACCACAAAAATGGGCATGGGACGCAGACATCGAGGGACCACCTCCCACCCGTGTCAGAATAGAAACACAATCGCAGACGCCTTTAGCCCGGCAGCAGTTGCGGCGTGCTGAGGCACTCAGCAGCGTGTGGTAATCGCCCATGGCCGTCCTGCCCGACAAGTCGCCTTTCTGCGGCGCATTGTGCCGCCGCGCCTCCCGCCGTTCAGGCTAATGGCCTTTGAAAGGGCACTCGTTCAGGGCGTGGTGGAGACGAGCGAATCGATTGGCCAGGCGCTCGGCGGTGTGGCCGCGATTGGCGGTTTCCGACGCCAGAGAGTGGCGGTGCTCGATTATACCAGCCGCCGCGCCGAGCCTGGGAAGGCTTCTCGGGTGAGACGCTGCAGTCTAAGGCACTTGTAGACTAGAGCACGGATTAGATAAATTTGCGAATTGTGGATCAATCCGTGGGCTGGAATGGACCGGATCAGAAATATAGAAGGTCCAACACACTCAACATATAGTCACGAAATGAACGTCGGTGAACATGACAGCCATTCATTCATACCTCAAGTGAATATCGTCCATCCACACCCCAAATAAAGATTTGGTGGGATTTGGAGTAGCTTGTTAGATTAGCAGAGCCAATGGTAAATGGCCAGTAAGCATATGAGATGTAAAAGCACCAGCAGTCATGGCAGATGCCTGATGAAGGACGACAGGTATGTATCTAACTATCGCACCACGTTTGTGAATGTGGGAGGGTTTCTTATTTGTGTCTAAGGCACTCACGGCGCGCGAGAAATGCTTTCACTTCGACTTAAACGCTGCGCCATCGAATAAAATATTCATGGTCACTTTATCAGCGCGTTGAAAACAAAAGCAAAACAAAACGAAATGGATGCAAAAACAATGTACTGTAGTCGAAACGCATGGAAAACATTGTTTTTGACTGCGTGAATGTGACTTACGTAGCTGTGCGATGCACTATTAGAAACAAAAACAACTTCCGTATTTTTCTAGTATGAATAAAAATGGATAAATTTGGTAAGCATCTGGGACTTAAGCAACAACATTCCAAAATCCCAGATCTGTTTCATCCCCTTGTAGGGAAGAGCAGGTACAGCAGGCAGTGGACAGACGACAGCATGGACAATAATGTTAACGCCGCCGGTAATCTAGCAAGAAGTAATGGTCGCAGTCAGTAACACGGGCAGGGGGTAGGACGAAGGGGCACTAGCCTGCCCCTTAGGTTCCGAGCGGCCATTCAGGTCCCTTGGGACCTGAGATGAAAGACCCGAGGGGCCCGAAAGGCCGGCTTAGGTCGTATTTAGAGACCCGGCCCTGCTGGCCGCACACTCCAATGATAGCCAGAGCGCCCTGCGCGCTGATCAGGGGCCCCTGAGTCGAGAAAGGCCTAGATGTCGGTCAGACACCGCCGACGACGCACAGTCGGCTCTATGTCGGCATGGCTCTGAGGGCTCACTACCTAAGCAGGGGCAAAGCAGGAGCCAGCGATTTCCATTTGATTTACATTTTCATTTCCATTGGTCGGAGCCCCAGCGTCTGTCAAGATCCCATGGCCTTTAACAGGGGCCCTGTGTAGTCAAGGGGCCCCGGGTCGGCCAGAGGCAGCGATCGAAGAGGCCTGAAGTACTTCGAGGGCCCACCTGGACCGACAGTCAAGAGCCCAATTGGAGGGCTTAAGGGCACGAAGGGCTGGCCGGAGTCTTATTTAGGGCCCTGGACATGGGACGGATCATCAAATGGCAGTCAGAGCGGTTTTTTGCTGATCAGGGACCATCTAAGTCGATATGACCTATACGTCGATCAGGCAACACCAGCACCACACCGTCGGCTCAGTGTGGGTGTGGGCCTGATCGCCGACTTCCCAATCAGCCGCAGACCTGGGACCAGCGCTTTACACAGGTTGGGCCCCCTGCATCTGTCAGGGGTCCACAGTGCCTAACACAGGACCCTGTCTCCGCATGGGGGCCCCAAGTCAACCATGGGCAGTGTTCGATGAGGTCTGAAGAGGGGCCTGGGCGACCTACCGGAACCGACAATCTAGGGCTCGGTTGGAGAGCACAGGGGTCCAACTAACTGACTGTAGGTCACAAAGAATCGCGGACCGTATGGAAGTGACCTGAAATACCAGTCAGAGATTCTCTTGTAACGTCTGAAGGCCAATGAGACAACGAGGGCGTCTCAGTCGGCCAGAGACCACGAACACGGAAGAGTTGACTCCGTGTCAATCTGAACCCGTGAACCACTTCCCAGTCAGGCCGAGGGGGATGATTGGTATTGGTATGGATCCCTGAAACAATCGTTGGGGCTCCTATGTAGGTCAGGATCCCCACAGTGCCTAAAAGGGGGTCATGCGTCGGCTAGTGGCCCCGAGTCGGTTACGGGCTCTGTTTGAGGAGGTCCGGAGAGGGGCCGAAGGGTCTCGGAACCAAAGATCAGGGGCCCGATTGGAAGACTGAACGGCCCGAACGGCCGACTGTAGGCTACATTAAGGGCGGAAGAACGGAAGGACGGCCAAAACGCCCCTGCACGTAGGGCCGTGACCTGAAATGCCAGTTAGAGAGCTTCTTGTACCGTTTGGGGACACCTGAAACAGAGCGTTCCTCTATTTCGGCCAGAGATCACCAACACCGAACAGTCAGCTCCTGAACTGTTCTGAACTCCTGGGGCCCATTTTTCAAGCAGGGACAAGGCGGTGCCCGCGATTTGCACTGGTTGGGGCCCCTACAACAATGCGGGGTTCTTGTGTCCGTCAGGGGCCCAACGCAGTGCCTACAGTGTATTCTGTACCAACAAGGGGTATCAAGTGGTTCAGGGGAGTATTTGCTCAGCAGGGACGGGGACGGGACCCCGAATGACAGAGAACCTCTTGTGTTGGCTGGAGCCCTCTGACAATGGAAGGAAACATGCCAACTTATGACGGGTGTTCACGTTGAGACAATGGAAGAGTCCTGTGTCAGGGCTCTCTGTGGGAGCCAGGGCTCCCAAAACCGAACGATGGGCCTTCCAACCAGATTTCAGCATGGGCCCGTTGTGCCAAACTGGAGTCGGTGTGCCAATTAGTGGACCACCTGCGGCGGCCAGGGATGTTGTTAACATCGATAAGGGTCCCTGCGTCGATGAGGGGCCAGCTGCGCGAGTCAAAAGGACTCCCGCGTCAGGGATGGGACTAATATAATATGATGTATCCCTCTAAGGGCGTCCGGATCGACCAGGGAATCCCACCCCGTATCGCCAGAATGAAACCCGGAAGACATGCTGCAGTGGAACGGAATGGTCCTTCAGCCCTTTACCGGGAACGGCCATGTGCCCCTAGTGTTCCACTCAAGGGAGCCTTTGCACCGAAAGAAACAAGGTGTCTCATTTGTATTGAATAGACTGGTTCGACATGAGTTCGACAAGGAACAAACCCATCTCACGCTTGCGTGCTTGCCTGACAATGCCCATTCTTTTTTTTACAATTTTGAGGCTGTCCTCTGGACGGATAAACAGAAGCAGCAACACAAAAATAGAAAATCTACCTATGCCCTCCCAGTTCCACCACCAGATTCCAGCAACATTCGCGGTGCTGTAAAGACCGATCTGTTCTTATCATGAATCTAAAAATGGCACCGGTGAAATACGCGCACAGACTACCTTCTTAGTGTACGTTTTGATGTCCTAAAGCGTCCAAAGATACTTTTTCAGATGCCTCATCATTTTCGTCCACCCGTTGGTCACGTCTTGCGTTAGACGCGGGACCAACGCCGCGCCATCATGGAGATTTCAACGCTTGGCGTCGAGGTTTTTATTTCGAAGATTTGCGAGCGCGCATGTACAATGGTTCATAACATAAATATGCATCAATAATCGATTCAGATGAATCGTTGATCATTTCCCAAAAAAACATGGCTGGGCTATGATGATCCAAATTGTTGAACCATTTTGATCTGCAATCTACATTCGCGGTGTTCCTAATATCTTTGTAAAACCCACATCAAATTTTGACGAAGGTTGTTAGCTCTATTGGTTTGCAAAAAGACCACTGGATCATTTTAAAGTGGAGAGCACTGGCAATTTATTGCATGCAATCGTTCAACACATGGTTCCTTCAGTTTATTGAGTACAAAACTCAGACAGAGATTATCTCGCAGTAGCTTTAGACATCTGTT